CTGCACCCAAAGCAGAATGGCTTTTCTGAGGACAGGTCATGTCAAACTAATCTGATTAAATTTTTTATTATATTACCAATGTTTTGGACCAGTGTGGTGCTGTGGACATAGCCTATCTTGATTTCAGTAAAGTATTTGATACAGTTCCACATAATCATCTAATAAAAAGTGATACAAGCTAGGACTTAACTATTGGGTGGTTCATTGGATATGCAGTTGGCTAAAGGATAGATATCAGAGTGTGGTTGTAAATGAGTTCATTCAGAGAGGAGACCAGTCACTAGTGCTGTACCACAAGGCTCTATACTAGGTCCCGGTCTTTTCAACCTATTTGTAAGTGATATATCTAAAGGTTTGGTGTGTAGGATATGTATTTTTCTGATGACATACTTATGTAAAATAATGCACTTAGGCAAACATAATGCCTTGATAGATTACTGACCCAGCTGCCCGCCACTATCATTCTCCTCCTACAGATGGACACAGATGCACTCCGCCACGGCGTGACAGACTCTACGCATCATCACGCCCTGATGTGAAACCTTTCACCTCCCCCGATTTGACCAGCACTCCACTCACCCTAACATGTCACCTGCACTCCTCCTCCTTGTATTCCTCTCCTCCATTCCCAAATCACCTCCTTCTACCTCCCTACTCCCCCAAAACAGCTCTACATTGCTCCTTCACTTCTTCCTTCTCCCCATTATGGCTCTCACCACCTCCTTCTGATACTCCACTCTCCCGCCGACCCACACGCCACCACTAACAGATCCACACACTCCTGCACATCCCGTTCCCATGCCACCTTCCTCACCCTCCTCCTTCTCCTAACCGCCGGGGACATTTCCTCAAACCCTGGCCCCCCGCCTCCCCACTCCCCCTCAAGGCACCCTCCTGGTCACGCCAGCTGCCGCAACCCCCTCAACCTTATACCCGTCCCCCCCCTCCTCCCCTCATCCACCCCTCCTCTCTCGGTTGCACTCCTGAACGCCCGTTCGGTTTGCAACAAGCTCACCGCCATCCATGACCTCTTTGTCTCCCACTCCCTCAACCTCCTAGCGGTCACTGAAACCTGGATCCAAGCCACTGACTCCACCTCCCCTGCTGCCCTCTCCTATGGAGGCCTTGTCTGGACCTACTCACCCTGACCGAGTGGTTGCAGAGGTGGCAGGTCGGCATGCTCCTGTCACCGCTGAGCACCTTCCAGGTCCTCCCTAACCCCCCCCTTCTTATCATTCTCCTCCTTCCAGTCCCACTGCATCCGGCTCTTCTCTCCCATCCCTCTGAGGGTTGCAGTAATCTATCGGCCTCCTGGACCCGTATCCCACTTCCTGGACGACTTTGCTGCCTGGCTTCCCTTCTTCCTCTCCTCTGAGCTACCGACCATCATCCTTGGGGACTTCAATATCCCCATCAACGTCAACAACCCGGCTACTTCCCAACTCCTCCTCATAGCCTCCTCTTTCACGTTCACACAGTCCTCCACCCACACCGATGGGAAACACCCTAGACCTCGTTTTCTCCCACCTCTATACCCTCCACAATTTCACTAACACCCCCTTCGCTCTCTCTGACCACCACCTCCTCGCGTTCTCCGTCTCCCCCCCTCCTCTAACTCCCCCCCCCCCCCCAAGCGTCAAACCATCACCAGCCATAACCTCCGCTACCTGAACCCGGCCCCTCTCCACTCGGCAGCTGACCGTCTGTACGACAGTATCCTTCCACTGTCATGCCATGACCTGGCCACTACTGCGTACAACGACTCACTGTCAGCTGCCCTAGACTCCCTGGCACCCCTAACCACACGTAACATCAGACCCCGACTGCTTCAACCCTGGCAGAATGACCATACAAAATGTCTCAAACGATGCAGTCGCGCGCTGGAGTGATTATAGCGCAAAACCAGATCTCCCTCTACAAATCCAGCATCCTCACCTACACCTCCTCCCTCCATGCCACCAAGTAAGCCTACTTCGTAACCCTCATTAACACCCTCTCCACCTGTCCTCGCTGGCTCTTCTCCACTTTCAACTCCCTGCTCTCTCCCCCCCACCTCCACTCAGTACCTCACTCACCGCCCACGAGATTGCCAATCATTTCCAAAACAAGATTGACGCAATCCATAAGCACAATGTCAATTCACAATCTACTTTTCCACCTAGCCTCCCTCCCTCCATCACCCCCTCAACTCTCCCCTCCTCTGACCTCGCAACCGCACTGCCCCCCACCACACCTAACGTCCCGCACACTATAACCTCCCCAACACTCCGCTCCTTCAGCCCTGCTACCACTGAGGAGGTCACTAAGGTCTTCACTGAAGCCCGCCTCACCACTTGCCCCCTAGACCCTATCCCTTCACAAACTCCTCCGGTCACCCCCCTCCTCCATCTTTCGCTCCCTCACCCACATCTTTAATCTCTCCCTCTCTACTGGCGCATTCCCCTCCCCCCTAAAACACGTGCACATCACCCCCATACTCAAAAAACCCTCCCTGGACCCCACTGACCTGAACAACCTTAGACCCATCTCCCTGCTGCCATTTACCTCCAAGCTCCTTGAGCGCTTAGTCTACAATCGCGTAAGCGCCCACCTCACTGACAACAACCTCCTTGATCCACTACAGTCTGGCTTCTGTCCCCTACACTCCACCAAAACCGCCCTACTTAAAAGGGCGTCGCCTTCCCCCCCCTTCCAACAGAAGGGACACTAAGTACAGGGGTGGGCAGAGGGCTGCTGTCTCTTACCTGGCTCCCACGATGATCCATCCAGGAAGCGCTGCTCCTTCCGTCACTCTGGCCACTCCCTCACTCCTGCCGCTCGGCTCCGCCTCCTCACCGGTGATTGGCCGCCAGAACTGTAGCTCAGGAAAGGTACACAGGCGGCCAATCACGGGCGAGGAGGCGGAGCCGAGCGGACCCGCGAAAATCGGGTGAGGGAAAAGCCGGTAAGTGTGCAGTGCAGAGGTGCTGCTGCAACCACATATGCTGGCTGCAGCAGCACCATACTGCAACAGGGGTCAGCAAGTGTCATTGGTGTCAGTGGGAGGAATAGTGCCGCATCATTGGTGTCACTGATACTAATGATGGGGCATTATTCCTCCCACTGACACCAACGATGGGGCACTATTCCTCCCACTGACACAAACGATGGGGCACTATTCCTCCCCCCCACTGACACCAACGATGGGGCACTATTCCTCTCCCCACTGACAGGGTACTATTCCTCCCCACTGACACCAATGTTGGGACACTATTCCTCCCACTGACACCAATGTTGGGACACTATTCCTCCCACTGACACCAATAATGGGGCGCTATTCCTCCCACTGACACCAATGATGGGGCGCTATTCCTCCCACTGACACCAATGTTGGGACACTATTCCTCCCACTGACACCAATGTTGGGACACTATTCCTCCCACTGACACCAATAATGAGGCACTATTCCTCCCACTGACACCAATGATGGGGCGCCAATGATTAGGTCCTAAGTAAATGTTGGTGATCGGTTTGAATTCATTATTATTTATTGATTTTATGTATTTTTTTCAGTATCATATGGTTTGACATGTCCAATCAAAAAATGTTTAAAGTTTAAATAAGGATTTAATTTTTTTTTGAATTTCTAAAGCTATTCTTTGTTGTAAATTGATCCACATTTCTTTCTTTTTTTATTCTCTTATACGTTAATAAGGATACAGTGTTATGCAGAGGTGTACTCATAACAATTTTATAGACAAATGATACTATTTACAGTCGCGCGGGGGGGCGCGAAATGTTTTCTTCTTCCTTGGGGGGCATGACAGAAAATAATTGAGAAGCACTGGGCTAGACTCATCCACCTTACCAACCGCTCCACTTCTGCCACCCCCCTCTGCCAATCCCTTCACTGGCTCCTGATTGCCCAACGCATTAAATTCAAATTACTAACTCTGACATACAAAGCCATTCATAACGCTGCCCCAAACTACCTCACTGACCTGATACCCAAATACCACCCAACCCGTGCCCTTCGCTCCTCATAAGACCTCCTACTTTCTAGCTCCCTGGTCTCCTCCTCCCACGCCCAACTGCAGGACTTCTCCAGGACTTCCCCCATTCTCTGGAACTCCCTACCCCAATCCATCAGACTGTCACCTACCCTCCTCACCTTCACGTGCTCCCTGAAAACCCATCTCTTCAGGGAAGCCTACCCCACCCTCACCTAACAGCTGTTCTCCTCCACTCCTCCTACCACTCCATCCCCCACAGCCACTTCCTCCTGTACCTCTACCCCCTCCCTCCTAGATTGTAAGCTTGAAAGAGCAGGGCCTTCGAACCCCTCGTGTATTGTATTGTTACTGTCTTGTCTCATGTACTGTCCCCCCACTTAATGTACTAATGTACAGCGCTGAGCAAACCTTTTGACGCTATATAAACACTGTATAATAATAATAATAATAATAATTACAATATTGGGGATACAGTGTTGGCTAGCACTGAGGTGAAATATTTTGGTGTATGCAAATGAGCAAACAGTGTGGCCAGGCTAGAGGGATCACCAGCAGGAGGAAGGAGGTTCTGATTCCTCTAGATAAATCTTTAGTTATCACTAGAGAGGTCACCAGAGGAAAGAAGGAGGTCTGATCACCCTTATGATCATTCTTTGGTTAGACCTCTTTTAAAATACTGTGTCCAGTTCTTGAGATCTCACTTACAAAAAGAAATTGATAAGAGTCCAGAAATGGGCAACAAAAATGGTGATAGGTCTGAGGGATAAAACATACCATGAGATATGTCAGGAACTTAAAGTGTAACTAAACCCAGGACCCTGCATTCACTATATCTGGTCTCCCACAGAACACAAAACATGGAAATGCAAATATTTTAGTAAATATAAACTGCTAAATACCTTTTCTCATCAGCAGTTAGAGCAGTCTTGTGACTTCTATCAGTTTCCAGCCAAGCACTGGTTAAAGCTTGTAGGAGTAATTTTCATTCTGCTCTAGGAGGATGTATGACCCCTGACCTCTGTCTGGACAGTGCTGATTGGCCCTGTGCTGATCACATACACTCTCCCAAGAAAAAAAAAATCCCTTACTAGCAAAACACACCAAACTGAGCATGTGCAGAGTGACTCCACATGATAGGTCTTGTCAGGAGATAAAGGGGGGGGCACTGGAAGAAGAATCAGGATCAAACTGCATTTTTATACAATGCAGAGGAATAACCCTTTGGGTCAGTGAGTATAACAAGCATGCTTTACTGCGTATACAGACTGATTTTATAGTTGTGGGTTTAATAACACTTTTAATATGTAAAGTATGTAGGAAAAAAAGGAAAGGAAGATATGAGTGAAACCTTTCAATACATCAAGGTGGTAAATAAGGTGCAAGAGGGCAGTATTTTGAAAATGAAGCTAAGATTAAGAACACTGGGACATGACCTCAAAGTGGATTTACACACATACTTGGGGCAAACATAAATCTACACTCAGACAAAAAAAGTGAAAAAAAAAAATCATATATAATGTAAAAAAATTGCAGTGATTTTAATGATGATTAAAGGGCAACATTAGAATTGCAAAATCTCTATAAATAATATCCAGGGGCAGGGGCGGACTGACCATTTGGAAACTCGGGCACTGCCCGAGGGCCCAGGGTCAGTAGGGGCCACATGAGATGCCCCTGGTACCTTTTTCATAGGCTTTTTTGAGTTTTGGCAAGGACACAGGGGCCCCATGATCCCCTATTGCCCTGGGGCCCCATGAGTTGACACTCTGCCCCTGCATCTGACTGTCGCAGCTGAAATTGAGGCTGATCAGACCAGGCAATGTTTTTCAATTTTTTTATTGTCAAATATTGGTGAGCCTGTGCAAATTTTAGCCTTCGTTTCCTGTTCTTAGCTGACAGGAGTGGCACCCAGTGCAGTATTATGCTGCTGTAGCCCATCTGCTTCAAGGTTTGAAGTGTTGTGCGTGATCCCCTATTGCCCGGGGGCCCCATGAGTTGTCAGTCGGCCTCTGTCCAGGGGATGTCCCAGCCTTCAGTAAAGACATTTCGGTTAAATGAGAAACACTGAGGACAAACACAAAAGAATGAACCTCAACGCTGCAATTCACAGAAGTAAAGCATATTTTGTTAACTGACCCTAATATCTCCCTATGCAATCGATGAGCTCTGTGATAGAATAATGTTCCACCAGTTCCATCAGTTAATTGAACAATTTGGATCAGCTTGGCTCCCGCAACTTCCTAAATGTGGAGGTAGAGCTCCCAGGAACCAATCCATGATGACCCTCTCCACAAAAGTGGCTCTGTAAGAACCTTAGACTGCAGTCAATGTTTAACCAGGCTGATTAGTTTATATTCATAGAGCAGGAAGACCCCTGCTGTGTCCTAATCAAGGTTGTCATCCCCAGAAATTGCAAGATCTATTCATTTAATTTGTCATAATTCTGGCCATTCCTTGAAGTCAGGTCAAAGTATGCCTTTTGGGATTCTCCTGATAACAATGGTTCGACAAGCAAGGCCCACTTATCTTTCTTAGGTTGTTCTCCTTCCCGGGAAATGGCTTACAGTGCCTCAACAAAGTTCACTGGGGGAATGGTAGAACCCACTGAAGTTAGGATTTCCACCTGCTGCCCTCCTTCTGTTAAAGAATAAGTTCACCTTTTCATAAGAATTCAAAAGGTGAACTAAACTAACTCTGAAAAGCCACCCCACTGCCCAGAACCCAATGCACTCAACTGCTCTGATGAAATAGCCTTTTCTGCCCCCACTAACCAGTTTAATGGGTCATCCACTTCAAAACACTTCACTGTATAGCCCTGGAGACTATGTAGCATTATAATGCAAACTATGGCGAACAGTGATTGGTAAAGGTGGCCACGTGATCATGCTGACCAATGGCAAATCTCTTATCGTGAAACGCGTCAACTTTCTGTATCAGCAATTTATACACTGAGGTCTTCTAATAAATGCAAGAATCTAAAGAGTAACTATGGTCATGTGGATCCTTTTCTACTAAATAATCTTTTTTTTCCTCAAGCAAAAGGTCCCTCTGGTATCTGAACCCCCGTTGAACCCTGTTTCCTTAGGGAACAGAGGAATCTTTTTGCCCGAAAAAAAAAAGAGGTTGTCTTTGGTCAGCGCAGTCATTTTGACCAATCATTGCTTGCCATAGCATACATTATGATACCACACAGCCCAGAAACCAGTATGTGTTTAACCACTTCCTGTCTGGACACTTTCACCCCCTTCCTGTCCAGGGCAATTTTCAGCTTTCAGCGCTATCACACTTTGAATGACAATTGCGCGGTCATGCAACACTGTACCCATACAAATTTTTTACCATTTTCTTGAGGCAGATAAAGCTCTATTTTGGTGATATTTATTCACCGCTGGGATTTTTTTATTTTTTTTGCTATGTAAATGAAAATGTCCAAACATTTTTTAAAAAAGTGTTTTTCTTATAAAATTTTGCAAATAAATAATCTTTCATCATAAATCTTGACCAAAATTTATTCCGTTATATTTTTACTAAAAAAAAAATAAGCCAAAATAATTTATAACCAAAAATTATAATTTTTAAACATTTTTTTTACATTTTTACTTTATTTTTTTATATTATTATTTATGGGTTTTTTTTGTTTGTTTTTTTTACATACTGTCACCCTAGCAGTACAGTGTCATCATGGTGACACTGTACTACTTGTGGGGGGTGATGAAGATTTTTTTTTTTTTTTTTTTTACAGTGATTGCTTGTACACCCATATAGGATGTAAAAGCAATCATTTCTCTTTCTCTCTGTCTGCATTCTTGCAGCCATAGAGAAATACTGAGTGAGCTGTGATTGGTCACACCTTGTCACATGGTACAAGGCTGTTGTGAATAGCCTTGTACCATGTGACCTCTGTGATCATTCACAGATTTCACACGTAGTAAGCAATGATGTCACAAGTGACATCTTGCTTACTACTTTGCATGTGATCACTGATTGGCCTATCAGTTATCACATGATCGGGACCTCGTACAGAGGTCCCGTCCGACGATCAGTGTTTCCTTGTGTGTGGAGGACACAGCTGGCACCGGATCGCGGTGCTGCGCGCTCCCAAGGAGCGCGCACAGCTAGAAAAGGCGGGTGCTGTTTATGAACGGCAACCCGCCCCTGGAGTGCCACCGCCCTGCCGTTTATAAACAGCAGGCGGGCAGCAAGTGGTTAAGGATCTTCCTAAGCCCGTTTATTCAAGAGAAAGACAAGTTATGCCCCAGTTGGGAAAAAGGTGTGACCTGTGCTTAACCCCCCAATATACTGATAGACAGACCTACCACTGCCACCAGCTTATCTTATAGAGCGCCACAACCTAGGAAGCAAGTAACCTCTAGCCATGACTCTTTCCTAGGCTGAAAGGGGCTCTTTATCACAAGTACACACAAGTATGGCAAGATACATGAAGTACTTACATGGAACAATGGCGATTGTCATAGTAATATTGATGAACAGTGAATATTCCTCCAATAATAATGTCTCCAGGCTGGAAATATTGGGTATTAAATGCAGACTCTTTTTTCTTGATAGAGCACCGGGGTCCTGAAGTCAGTTTTTGATTCTGTGTCAGTAATAGGAGGCTGAAGCAAGCTATGCTTTTATAAAATATAGATTTGCCATACATATTTTGTGGGATAATACTATTCAGTTATCGTGGATAAAATAAAGGTGTCCAATTCAGAATTTGGCATAAAATATATCTGTAAAATAACTGTTACTTTGATTAAAATAAATATCCCCAACAAACCACAATTCAAGGAGTAAAGTTGTTTTTCAAGCTCAGGATAAATAGGGCTTTAGAGAGATTGAGCTCTCATAGACCCCCTGACAACTAATACAACTGATATGAAAAAACAAATTGTATTGAAATACAGTTAGTGTATTAAACATGAATAATAAGCAAGATCTTCCCATAAACCTACTAGTCTATGTAGAAATTAATAACAACATATATAATTTAGTCTCCTATTATATTACATAGTACATGTGCACTATCTGCTGCTCTACGGTGTGTAGAACCACTGGAGGAAATGTGCAATCTTTTATAGTCTTCAAGGTGTTGATGAAAGATAGAGCTGACATCATGGCTGTTTCTGTAGATATCCAAAATTGTAACACATTTAGTTTCGTTGTTGCAAACGTTTGGTAAAAGTCAAACCTAGAATTTGTTTTCCTTTATTCCTGTAAAATAATATATAAATCTCAAGATTTATGTTGTAAAAAAAAATGACAAAGATATTTAATGTGTATCTAAAGCCAAAAACTGTTTCTTTTTATAATGTGATAAGTATTGAAACATCTGACAAGTTTTTATTGCTGTGTACCACTGACGAGATTTACCCTCTCTACTTGTCTTAGTGACCATTTTCAGTGCACAAGAAAGTGATGGGAAATAAAAAGAAACTCTGTTTCTCCTTTTCTAATGACAGCTGTCTAAGAGGGGATCTGGTTAGGCAGCTTTGCAACATGAAGGGGCATCCAGGGTGCTTCCAGTGAATGCAAGAAAGTGTAAGAAAGCCTCAATGGGTTTAGAAAATCCAAAGTTAACAAGACAATGGGGTTGATTTACTATGACTGGAGAGCAGGGGCGGACTGACAACTCATGGGGCCTCCGGGCAATAGGGGATCATGGGGTCCCTGTGTCCTTGCCCAAACTCAAAAAAGCCTATGAAAAAGGTACCAGGGGCATCTCATGGGGCCCCTGCCTGACCCCGGGCCCTCAGGCAGTGCCCGAGTTTCCAAATGGTCAGTCCTGGAGAGTGTAAATTTGGTGTAACTGTGCATGATAGCCAATCAGCTTCTAACTTCAGCTTCTTCAATTAACCTCCCTAGCGGTCTGATTATGTCCATATTTCTGTGCTCAAAGTGGTACATTTTTTTTGCATGGAAATATGTATTTTTTTTATTGTAGGCTGTAATTTTTAGGAATAACTCCCTGAAATCTGTCCGAACAAGAGTCTAGTAAACATCCCGGATATGATAAAACTTGAAACACGAAATCATAAATTATAATTTAATAAATAATCATAAAAAATAATAATATAATAATAATACATTTAATTCAATAATATAATCAAACCAAAA